TACCCCAGGGGTTGGAGTCTCTCCTCACTTTCTCTTAAAGAAGCTCGTATGAACTAAAACAAAAAGTTTGCGAGGATATGTGTAAAAATGTTACAATACGTGAAACCGTTGAAACTGTACGGTTAAGAACCTAGCACCTCCTCCGTCATGAATTCATAAATTATTGTGAGCACTCGCAGATCATGAGTGCGTGGAGCGGAACACCTAACCGCGATGATCCCATGATTTTTTAGATTTTTTTGTAGATGGAATGTTGCGATGTCGTGCTAAGATACAAGCTACCTGTTTTGCACCCAATTAGGGGACTGCCATGATATCGACATAAATACAAGAACGAAATAATGATTGCGTGTCAATAGCCACTAATAAGGGAACACTTTGTCATCACTGACACTTTCATACATGCGAAGCACGGAAAAAATCGGTCAGATAGAGTGTATCTCTCTGCTCGGCGTCGTATTTTTCAATCGGAAAAGTTAATGGCAAGTGCTAAATAACGTAATTAGTCAAGCAAAGCAATGATTTTGGCGCAAAATTCGAATTCTAGGCAGCATGTGTTGCAGAAGAGCAAGGTCGGATTTTCAATGTTTAGTGGGTTTGTGGGATTGTAGGCTGTTCATGAAAAACAGCGAAATCTACTCATTGCAGATAGTATTGCCAGCGGAAGGATTAGTTATGTAACAAAGACTGGCTGACGTGTCAGCAGTGTTCAATGGGTTCACACTGTGGCTACATAAATTATTTCTGACGCGATCAAGGGGAGTCGAACGTAAAGTAAATGAACCATAGCAAGCGGTGGTCGAGTGTGTGCGCTAAATTGTGCTCTCGCCGGTAAAAACAAGCTTGCATTTGGCTTCGAAAAAGTTTCCTTCTTGAGTAGCTTCATTGCAATGCAGAGCATGCGGGCAGATTCAGCAAGACAATGTGGATTGACTAATTTCTCTTTGCAGCGGGGCTGCCGTAGCTCTTTCGATTAGAGAAAGCTTAATTAATGTCGATGACCTTTGTGCTTTACTTAGAACTAATACAAGTGCAGCGGATTGCAATCCACTTACTCCAAGAGTAACTACAACCTTAACGCAAGGCTATTTAACTCTTTCTTTCAAAAGGAAGTCGTATTTCTCGGTTTTATTTTTCGGCAAAGCCGCTTTTATCCAAATCTATAGGTTATCCTATCTCTATAGTCCAACCTAATTGAATGTATAACTAATGACTGTTCCAGCTAATGACTTCTTGTTTAAGGGGTAGTCATAACATTGTGTGGTCACATTATCTTATGTAACCCAGTTCCTTCATGTCATGGCACGTGAAAACCCGTTACACTCTCCCCTGTGAACTCCTATATTTCACATTCGAATGTCGCCTCGAACGAGGCTCGCGTTTCTCAGACACCATATCATCACCAGGACAATTTTTATAATCTCTGCTCAATGAGCCATGTGTCGAGGTCACGGAAGATACTCAGCCTCGCTGTTTCCGAGAACGCCCGAGGGCAGAGCCGTTCTTCGTCTCCTACACGCGAAGCAACATCGGACAGCACATCCGCAGCTTCAAGAGAGCGCAGTCAAGCTCTCGGTAACCAAGCATCGCGCAGCGCATTGTCGGCGACAGGGTCGCACGACCAAGAACACAGACGCGACGTCTACTTCTGACCGCACACCGCACACGCCACGGCTGAGGGGTTACCTCGTCGAGCAATTGGAGAGAGTCTAGTACGTGTGAGATTAAATTTTTTCAGAATGGGAAGAACAAGATTACTAGAAGCGCCAACGGCTCGACGTGAGCCGTGCTCGAACCTCGCGGATACCGTGTCCGTGTCCGTTTCCCGACTTCTCGACTCCAGGGGAAGTGGTATCAACACCAATCGCTTTGATGAGGCACAGGAGCAGCAGCTGGAGGCTACCCGCAGGACGGCTATGCAGGCGCAACCACAGTCGGTCCGAGACCCTCGTGTGCAATATAGCTTCCGCTCTGCGGGTCCCGCTACGGAAGCAAAAGATGACTCGATCGTTGGGCGTCTACGTAGTCACTACACCAGCTGAGCTTGACCAACGAAGTTCTCCGAGCTCGCTTTTTGGTGCCTCAATAAATTCCAGTAGAAAGGTACCGCGCTCGACTTTGCGCTCAAAGAGGAGGCGCATCTGTACCGCTTAGCGGACGATTATTGTGGTGCTCGCAATCGCTACAGATGATGAGGAGTTCTTTGAGTGATGGGTGCAGCAGCACCCAAAATTCTCTTCGCTGCCTAACTTACAGCGGAGCGACAAGAAGGTGCGTGGAACGCCATCGTCGGTTTGACTTTGCCAAACTCCTGGCGTGTCGTCAACTTTCTTCGTCTTGTCGCCCTGCAGTGTATGTGTTGATTCACCACGCCCTCGCGAGCTCTGTAGACTCTCACACGGGCGGGACTGCGACCGCAGCAGCTCAAAGCCATAGCATAAGCTCAGCTCATGCCCCTTCGGCTTTCCCCGTTATTGCAGAATAGCAAGGGGCGTACGGCGATGCGGAACGTAATAATCCCTATGATCATAAGCGTCCACGACATCTAGACAGTCTTGCCGAAGTGGAACCCCAACCTCCCACGAATTCTCGGGGTCTGACACTTCACAAGATACTGGATTTGACTCTGTCGACGACGTCGACCCACAAGACGTTCCACTTAGTTGTGGACACCCGTCACGTCGAGAAGAGTCGGTGGAGGACGATGACGACTGGGTTGGACGCCGTCGGCTTATTCACGAGGCTCTTCGAGCTCTTGAGGACAGAGTCAGTCGTGATCGGCGTATACGCAATGCCCCGCTTGGCCACGACCTTGAAAGCTCGATAAACCGTGGACGGAGCTTCGTCTTAAAAAAAGCAGCAAAAAGTGCATGTGTAGGAAAGTTTTTCGCCTTTGATAAAACCAGGTTTGCCGACCTCAAAGCTTTCGATATTTCTTCCGCTTCTTCCGTTTGTAATTATTTCTGCATCTTTGCTTTCAGCCATCGCATCTTGAACGTACTCGGCCTGGTCGACAAGAAGTCTCAAACTTCTTTACTCACGTTGAAAAAGCTAACATTAGCTAGCCGTTCGGCTATCCCTCCTCACAAAGCCCTGAACCATGGGATGGCGACGTCAGCAGGACGCGAGGATTTATAATCCCATTAACGTAGAACGGTATGTAGCCGGTTGATAAAGGCACAGTATTGCTCATAGCAAACTCTACCAGTGGCGACATATCGCCCCAGCGCTTCGGCGTCTCAACACTGACGCTGTGAAGAACGCCTCCAACGACGCAATACCCGCGCTCAGTTTGACCATCGGTCTGGGATAGTCTACTGTTGACATAGTTAACTTGGCGCCCAGCACCCCGAAAATTGTAGACCAAATCTTCCCAGTGAAGCGCGGGTCTTTATCAAAGAAAATTGACTCCGGGGGTCCATGTTGTCGGAAGACACGATCCAAAAGCAGCGGTGCTGTGCCCACACCGTCGATGGTGCGCGACACCACCGCAAGATAAGCTATCTTGTTCAAACAGGCGACAAAGAGCCACCACATCCGTGTTGCCCGCCGATTCCTTCGGCAGCCCAAACTCAAAGTCCATGTCAAAGACCGCCAACACCTGAAGGGTACAGATTAACTGACCAGCGGCGTCGCCGCATTTGGAATGGGTTTCACGTGCGCACATATCTTATACAGCTTGGGCCACAAATAGTGGCAACTTCCGAGCTAAACATCTTCTTACGACCGAGATGACCACTGAGTGGGGTGTCATGGGCCTCATGGAGGAAACGAGATTGCAAATCCTCATCGTGAAAAACCACAAATCGTGGCGTGTCCGTTGAATTGGTGCTATATTGCAGCAACACGTTACTCCGCAAATTTCGGTGTAACCGTGCGCGCAAACGCGCCGACAATTTCTTGTCCGACTCTCTATACTCCGTGCCCCTGAGAAACTGTAGCAGCGCTACACACATACTGTCACCCGCGTATGCGGGGCGGATCAAATCCATCACTGACGACGTCACCGTCGTGACATGAGCAAGCTCATAATCCGGTCTGTGCAAGCGCATCAGCCAAAACATTCTGCATTCCTGGCTTATTTCACCTCGCAGATATAATTTGCGAAGAAGAAGCGTCACCTGGCCATCCTCTGCGATCTATGAGGCAACTGAGTCGCAGAGCGTAGTGACGGATGATCTATGTAGATCACAAACGGCTTGGAGCCGAGCAGGTGCACCCTGAACTTGACAAGTGCATACGAAATTGCAAGTAATTCCTTGTCGAGGACTTTTCTGCAGCCTTGAGCTGGCGAGGTTCGATTGCGATCACCTGATCTTGCCCATCGGCGTCTGCTAGTAGCAGTGCACAGCCGATGGCAAAGTCCGAAGCGTCACAGACGCCACAAAAAGAGCGATCGGGGTCTGGCAACCCCAGTATTTGTGCATGAAGGAGGCTGTTTTTAAAAAGCCTCCCGATACTCAGTGTCCCAATACCATTCTGTATCCTTCTGGAGGGCATTAGACAATGACCGTGCTGTTTCCGCATAATTTGCGCTATCCTTGTGCAGGTCGTTGGCGAGACAGGGCCACTTGCGCAAGTCCTGTTGGTTCTTTGTATCCGGGTAGCTCACAATGATTCTGACCTTATCAGGATTCGCTCGAAGGCCACGCTCCCCGATGATTCATCCAAAAACAAAATTTCTTAGGCGCGGAAGATGCACTTGTCTGCATTAGCACACAGCGTATTTGTGCACGTACACTCGAGCACCACTCTTAAAGGTCTCTTCATCCAGCCTTCCGTGCTCCGCACGGCTGTGGACGAAAATGTCGTCAAAGTATGTCTGTGCATGCGCCCGGTGGGGCCTGAACAACTGCGTCACAAGACGACAAAATGTTGCTGGTGTATTTGTCAGCCCTAAAGGCATCACCAGCTGCCACTCGGAGTACTCACCAAGTCAAATGCACTGTTGTTTGTGTATCCAGCCATATTGTTTTGGAAGACATCGTTCCTAGGAATCGGCTTCCTAAAAATGGCAGCGTTGAGCTCATTGTAAGCGCGAACGATACGCCATCTGCCGCTTGTTTCCGGACACAAGATGTGGATGTCAAACGGGGAGACTTGCTCTCACGCGCCGTTTCTGTGTCGTGTTTTGCAAGGAAAAAGGCGTCAATGGCGTCACACACACTTTTCTTGGGCAGTGGCCATCGGTGTGTTACTCAGGTTTTGGTTTCCGGAACCAGGTCAATCTCATTACGCCCACCTCGGTCCGGAGGGAGACACGACGGCGAGCCTTTAACCGACGTCTTGAATATCCTTCATCAAAGAATAGTACGGATCCGAGGATTTCTTCGGGATCGAAGATTCACTTAGTGCGCTCAGCACCTTCTTGGTGTCCTCCAGGTCAGCTTCATTCAGAGGCGAGACGAGTGGATCTCCTTTTCTTGTCGTATAGTGACCACTTCGGCTAAGTCGCCTACCTTCAAGGCGCCTCCAAACTCATCGAGGGGCACGTCCAGCTCAGGAAGAGCATCCACCGCGAGAATAGCCTTCAGGTGACGTCGCCGTCTTTCTTTTCCGTCATACCGTTAACGATGCTGAATAGCTGTGCGCTATTGTCTACTGTAGCCACATCCTGGGTTAGGGTGACACCCGGCGCCTTGCAGCGATCATATGGCGTTACTGTTGCCTCATCACAGAGGTTTGACGTCTCGGCGAGACCAGTGTGAACACGCACTCAGCGTCGTCCAGTGTTAATATCAGTTCCTGCTCTACGGAGCCCTGATGTCATTATCAACATCCAACAAAGAGCTACTAGCACCGCAGTCTTCGTTCAGTGGATATCGTACCACTCCACGCGCATCTGAAGGGCTTTGCCCAAGATATCTCTGATCTCGTCCGACCATGCCACTCTGGGCACTCAGTGACTGCTTTGAAACGTGAGCAGTGCTTAGTGGATTACGTGCCACATGCATCACTGGGGTTTCGTCCTCGATGTCTCGGCTTTTGGCCCTTGGCCGATCATGTCGCTCTTGGCATGTAGCAACTACTTTGATACTTGAGCAGTGCTCAGTGAGTTATGTACCACTCCACGTTCAGCCCGCGAGCCATGATCGGGACCTTTGCCCAATACACTGTCGATGTTCGACAACTCGAATACTCCGATACCAGTACATTGACCGTGCCGGTCCAGTGCCTGTGCCAATAGCGCTTTTGCTTCCTAGCAGAGTTGGGTTCATGACTTACCACAGCTCCACCAGGAGATGTGCGCGTAGCGCCCAAGGTCTTCGACCTCCAATCAATCCATGGCTCATGGTGTTCCAACCATGTCATACGAAGAATAAGGTCATACCTTGAATCCAAGTCTAAGACTAAGCAGCGTGCCACGCTATCAAACTTGACACCGAGGTCCACAGGAATTCTCGGCACCGTGACACATGTCCCCGTCCGTAAGCAAACAGTGACGGTGTAACTCAACCGCGCTTTTAGCGCTTCAGCATATAGCCGACTTTCTTCGTAAAGCGTCGAGTATAATTGCCCGACACTCCGGAATCGATTAGAATCATCCATAGCTCCATAAAGTCCTTCACGGTCGCTTTTACGAAGAGAAAGCTTGGCTTGTATACAAGTCCCGTGTTCAAGAGCACGAAGATCATTGGGGCTGAGTTCAGATGCCCTCTTCCTCTTTGAGGCTCAACAGATCTCAGTTCTCCCCCAGTAAGCCGCCCCGCGCCTGCTGGGTGCTGTCGTTTACTCTCAACAAACCAGACTGGTAAAAAGCGGGATGTCGATTCAATGAACCTTGACGCGTCTTGTGCAGGGGACAAACAGTCCGAAGGTGACGGGGTTCTCCACTGACGAAAACACCGTCGGGTGGTCGAACGCTGCCCAACAGCTTGGATATCTGCCTTCTCTCACTCAGCTAAGCTGAAACCCATTGGCTCAGACCCACTCGACGAGCTCTGAGGATGTGCGGCCCAACAAAGTCGTGCCGACTTAGATTTAAATATGAAATTCAATGTCACATTCACCGCATCTTTAAAAGAAGACCCTACTTGGTGGCCCTTCATGAAACACGGTCACTGTTACCGCCTCGGAAGGAGGATCTGCTGCCAGACTGGCAATGAGAGTACGCAACTCATGGACAAAATCTACCAATTCCTTCTTGCTCTGTCGGGCGGCAGGAAAAAGTAATCGCACGGGATATGCCTGGTTAGGTGGGTCACACGTTAAAGCTCCAGCTTCAACTCCGTCTAGAAGGGAAATGCCGCTTTACCAAAGTGCCGAACGTCCGTACCGATTCTCGCGCTCGACCTCCAAGCTTGGGATAGCACGCGCTTTTAATCATTCTGAAGCATGGCGGATGCCATAGCCATCTCTGCATTTCTTACCCAGAGCAGAAGATTCTCTTTATAGTTAACCTCGGAGGTCGTGACGCTCACCATGAGGGACCTGGGTCGGGAGGAGTCATCCGTCGACGACGTTGGCGTCAGTGACACAGTCGGCGCCGACATCTTCAGCTATTCGTGCTCTAGCTTCACAGCTTGAAAATAGCGCGCTTATTGCTTTCGGTCATTACGAAACAGGCTGTTGCACACCCTCAGAACCAAGCAGGGGCAAATAGAAGAATTGCTCCGTCCTCAACGAGAATTAGTCCTAACGACTCAGGTAAATTGACAACTAGTGCTACTAAGAACACGGACTGCCGTAGCTCTTTGCTTATAGGAAGTTTACTAAAGCCACCCACCTAACCTTCTATACTAGAAACAGTATAAGTGATCTGCTACCCACCTAACCTTCTATACTAGAAACAGTATAAGTGATCCGCAACCTAGCGCGATCCGCTACCTCCAAGAGTACCTAAAACCTTAACTCAAGGCAAATACACTCGTCTGCTTAGAATGAAAACTGTATTTATCTATTTCATTTGCGGCAAAGCCGCCTGTATCTAAATCACTAAGTTTTTCTAATTAAATAGTAAAACCTTAGTTATATGCATAACTACTGGCAGTCCCGCCACGTGGTGGCCTCTTGCTACGGTATAGCCACATCATTATGTGATTACGCCGTCTTGTGTAACCCACATCTTTGTATGAAGACACCATCTTTCGTGACCCGCCATATAATACCAGGGTACGTATAGCTCCGTTACAGTGGCGACAGCATATTTTGTTGACCCGTATCCTACGTACGCACATAAGCGCATAGTTGGGTCATCAAAACATAGCGCGACTCCGCCTAATGTCATCTTTCTTCTATTGACAAAGTTTCTTTTGAGTCGTACAGTATTTGGTTCGTGAAGTCCACGGCACAAGGCACCACGACAGGAATAGTGGTGCAAGCGTAACATCAAACACGTCGGCAAAAGCGACATCCGAAGTTAGAGCGCATCGTTCAAAAAGAAGCAACACACCTTCTTTCTCATCCGGCCTTCTCGCTTAACGAGTTGGAGTTAAAATGTGGTATGTCGTCATCGTGACATCAATGCGATAGGCCTATCTATACCTTGCCTTAAAGACTAACTCGACAAACAAAGCCACTCATCTTAATTTTTAATGCGTTGCAACGAAGAATTATTTGTATAGATCACGACTTGGTAAGAGCCAAGGTGACCCTCAACTGGGTAAGTGTATTGTCGATGAAAAGTAGCTTTTTGTCTGGAATTAAGTTTTTCTGTAGCTATAATTTGGCGAGACTTGTATGGCAATGATGCGTTCATGAACATTGGCATCGGTTTGACAAAAACACATCCTACGGAAAAGCCGAAGCATCACAGACGACGTTAAAGACCAGTCAAGAATTTAAAGCGCCAGATCGGGGCTAACATTAGAGTTTCCATCAGAGCCTTACAGACCACAATCAGGTGCACAAAGCACCTTTCTGACAACTTAAGGCCAAGCTATGTCAGAATATTCATGAATCAATCTCGTGCAAAAAGCTCGTATGCCTAGCTACTACCTTAAAACAGTGACACTGGACAGTGCATGATAAACTTTGCCTTTGCGGGATTAGCCCACAATAAATTTTTTTGGGGAACGGGGTTTTGTCCGAGCCAATGCTCATTTACCGCTGCTTGCAACCATTGAAACGTATTCTTGAGTACTCCTTGCGAGTGCTTGACGTGGTCGGCCGCATCCGACTTTTGATGCTCTGTTTGACTATTGCCGAAAAAATATAAGAACAGAATTCTGCATAGGCCCAATGCGATCTAAAATGCTGCAACGCCAGACGCTTATCCGTGAATTTTGAATTAGTCACTCCCAGGGTATATCGCTCAGAATACGGTATAAGAATAACACTCCTCATAACAATAGGCTGATACAAAACTAATCTGCTAGATCAGGCGCGCTGGAAACGGTGTGACTGACCATGCAATCCTACAGCGCAAACTGTTCAGGATTCGGCATCTGGACCAAAAACGGCGGATGCATTTGGCTTGTTATGAGCACGTTTCGTTACTTACATTTCCGACGCAGTAACTCGGCGCCAATTGAGAGCGTTTACTCCTCTTTCCTATCTATTTTCGTGATTTGCAAATAAAAGGGTTTGACGTCAGGTCATAATGATTTAGTGGTTAAGTTCATTGACATGCGCCACAATATTCGATTCCTGGAGCTGAGTCTGTTTATGACGTACTCAGGCGATATTCGTGACGAGTCTCTTGTCACTATGTCATGTTTGAAGAACCTTGATATTTTAGCTTCTCCACCGGTACTATTCAAATCAAATCTGCGACTGTCTCGCGACTATTTCGAAGAATAATTTCTCATACTCAATAAGAGCTTCGGCTCAGGGAATGAACGAGGATCCTTGTTCTCCCTATCGCTACTACAGCCACCTTACCTGCCAGTGATTTACTATCTCGACACCAAATCGGAAAGCTTTGCCGCTCTGCAGGATGGATGCACCGCACGTGAGAGATGAAGCAGCAAATCATTACATATTGACCCGGTTAGACTATTCTGATTACGTCCAGAGACTTGTAATTTCACTTGCGACTTAAATTTGCAGGTCTCCGCCGGCTTCTACTCAGACGATTGCGGCCGTCGCAGCTCGGACTCGTCTCCACTGCTTTCGTTCAGACGACCGCAACCCAAATTTGCTCTCATCCATCCCACCAGAAACCATTCATGAAAAGCTTTAATTACTGCTGTAATGTGAACGTCTTACCAGATATACACTATAGCGGCTGTGACATACGTTGCTTCTACTGATACAAGCATAAATATACTGATGACACCGCGATATGTATAAATTCACTTCTTCCTACAACTTTACGAAACTGCGACTCAGAGCCACTTCTAACTTTCACTTTTTGTTCAAGGATATCAGGATAATCGTTGCCAAAACCCGGTTTCTCTTAAACACGGATCGTGTGTGCAAGTCGGGCTTGCTGGTCGTGGAGGCGACCGTAAAGGGCTCCGAGAAGCCATGGAAGATCCTCATCGATTTCGGGGCGTCGGGCAACTATGCTCGACGCCCCACGATCGCGAAGTCAGCTGTATGCTGAGGCGCTGAAAGCGCGGTTGACATCGTCACTGTTCGCCTAGGGACGGGGACGCGTGTCACGGTCCCGAAGGTCTCTGTGGACCTTGGAGTCAAGTTTTTTTTACTTTGATAGCGGGAAACGCTGTCTAGTCTTTGACTTGGATGCAAGGTATGACCTCATCCTAAGAATAGCATGGTTGGAGCACCATGAGCCATGGATTAATTGGAGGTCAAAGACGTTGGGCGCTACGCGCACGTCTCCTGGTGGGGCTTTGGCGAGTCATGAACCAACTTCTGCTAGGAGACAAAAGCGCTATTGTCGAGAATTAGACCGAGACGGTCAACGTGCTAGACATAGGAATGCACGAGTTGGTAGACATCAACGGTGCATTGGACAGGAGTCCCGAGCGTGGCTCGCGGGCTGATCGTGGAG